TTTTTGTTTCTTTCCTCCGTTACCGGACGGTGATGCTGATCGAAGTCGTCCCCGTTGGCTGAAGAACACAATCCTGTACTTCGACTTTTTTGTAACATGAATTGAGCTCGCTCCACGGCACTAGGAACATTGCTCGTTGAACTTAAGTTATTTTAGGGTGGTCTTCCCACTCACATTTTCAAAATTTTCAGATACGAATTGAGTGACTTAATCCGGAAATTTCTTATTTTAGCTTGAACTAGTGCTTGCTAACACTTGTCACACGAGTCTCGAGCACTCATCCACAGAATCGGCAAGGTTTCGAATATGTTCCTCCATTTTGTTGGTTAAAAAAGGCGGGAGAAGCTTTTGGAAACGGATTCCCGCATGTTTGATCCAAGATGCTATGCACATGGTCTACATTGAATTTTCATTGAATTTTCATTGAATTGAACTTGAATTGAACTTGAATTTTCAATTATTTTCATTGAATTGAGCTTGAATTGCACTGAGCTGAACTTGAACTTTCATTGAATTGAACTTGAATTTTCATTGAATTGCACCTGAATTTCATTGAATTTCATTGAATTGTAACTTGAAATTTAATTTGGAATTGAATACTGCTACAATTGGCTTGCCATAATTGGTCCGGCAGAGGAGATTTAACTCCGTGACTGTTTTGCCATTTGCACAAAGTTTTAGCTGCTCCATCGGGATAACTATGAAGCATAGTAGTTTCGTTCTCGTGTCAGTGTGTATTACAATTTTCGTGGCTATCAACGTTCCATTTGTTAAACCTCTAAAACAATTTTCATCTCATGGTGACGACTCTCGTCAAGAATTTTTGGAGTTAAGTGGTACGTATCAGAATGACGGCTTACGGATATCTTAAAAAGCGCGCCGTGGAAGTCTTTCCTTTTGATTTCAAGGCTTCGCTCTCTGCACATTCTTAAATGACAGCTAAGTGTAACCCCCAGTTTCTCAATTTATTCAATTCCATATTTATTTCCAATTCCAACATAAGTGACTTTAATTTTTAATTTGGTTGAAACATTTTGCCATTTACTGAAATTGTGTTAATATATATTTTGTTTACCGATAACTTGAATTTTCTCGTAATTTAGCGTCGGATCACCAAGATTACGTAGTGAATTTTAAAGGTGAAACTATCAGCCTGAAAAACTTGATAAAGTCATTGCGTCACCATAACGTTACTCTACCACAAGAGGACAGATATCTCGCTGAAGTGCATTAAGTCATCCTAAGCATATTCAACTGACGCCCGACTGACGGCATTTGTTCTAATTACTAGGAACGTCAACAACAGAACACATCAACGCCACCCGCCTGCGAAATTAATCTTGGTTTAATTAGCGAAGAACTTACGTTCAAAATGCGGCTGTTGGCACACACACTCGATCGGCGAAGCTGCAACTGATGAAGATGACAACCCAAGAGGGTTGAAAGGCTAGGTCTTTCACTCACTGAGTCTTATAGAATATAAAACACGTTCCGCATTTGCTAATATCTTTTAATTTGCAATAATTTCGGAATAACTATCAAGCGCAGCAGTTTAGTTCTCGTGTCAATATGCATTACGATTTTCGTGCAAATGAACGTTCCACCTGTTAACGCCAAAATGGCATTTTCATCTTTTGGTAGCGACCCTCATAGTGCTTGCTAACACTTGTCACACGAGTCTCGAGCACTCATCCACAGAATCGGCAAGGTTTCGAATATGTTCCTCCATTTTGTTGGTTAAAAAAGGCGGGAGAAGCTTTTGGAAACGGATTCCCGCATGTTTGATCCAAGATGCTATGCACATGGTCTACATTGAATTTTCATTGAATTTTCATTGAATTGAACTTGAATTGAACTTGAATTTTCAATTATTTTCATTGAATTGAGCTTGAATTGCACTGAGCTGAACTTGAACTTTCATTGAATTGAACTTGAATTTTCATTGAATTGCACCTGAATTTCATTGAATTTCATTGAATTGTAACTTGAAATTTAATTTGGAATTGAATACTGCTACAATTGGCTTGCCATAATTGGTCCGGCAGAGGAGATTTAACTCCGTGACTGTTTTGCCATTTGCACAAAGTTTTAGCTGCTCCATCGGGATAACTATGAAGCATAGTAGTTTCGTTCTCGTGTCAGTGTGTATTACAATTTTCGTGGCTATCAACGTTCCATTTGTTAAACCTCTAAAACAATTTTCATCTCATGGTGACGACTCTCGTCAAGAATTTTTGGAGTTAAGTGGTACGTATCAGAATGACGGCTTACGGATATCTTAAAGGCGCGGACTCAATTAGGCGCCGTGAAAGCCTTTCGTTTTGATTTCAAGTCTTCGCTCTCTGCAAATTCTTAAATGACAGCTAACCCTGCAAGGTCCAATTTCTCAACTTATTTAGTCCTTATAATGTAAGAATTGACACTAATTTTTGATTTTGTTGAAACGTTTTGTTATTGAAAATTGTGTTGACGTAAATTTTGTTTACCGATAACTTTTCTCCTAATTTAGGATCGGATCACCAAGATTTCGTGGTGAATTTTAAAGGTGAAACAATCAGCCTCAAAAACCTGACAAAGCTATTGCGTCACCATAACGTTACTCTACCACAAGAGGACAGATATCTTGCTGAAGCGCTCAGGCAAAAAAATGCTTCAGAACAATCGTGCGGAGGCAGATGCTTATCGGAAGAAAGAGGAGAGGGCAACAAGTGTTTCTGTGATAAGGCTTGCAGAGAACTCGGTGATTGCTGCTTGGACTTCTATTCACGGTAAGACAACTTGTTTTTCGTCGATGGCTAATATATTAGTCATGTATATAGTTCGTCGCTACCAATAATAAATTGTATTTCAGTCATTAATGCATCGGTCAAGTAAACTCCCAACATCTCTACCAAGAGTTGGTTGTGCATTTTGCAGATGATGTGTAATAATTTTGTCAAAACTTTGAAGATAAATTCAGCAAACGAGATGCAGCCGAACTCTCTCAAATTGCGTTCACGAAAGAGTAAGCTCGCTTTGAAACTTCGAAATGTAATTTTGTTGCGCTTCTTGCAATTTTATAATATTGGGGTCAACTGATGACAGTGTCAACGATAAATAAAGCTGAATAAGAAGGGTGTCTTTTTTGCAAGGTTTTGATTCTTTGGATGATTAGGAATTTTATGAAATTGCTATCGAAACAAAAAAATTAGAAATTGTCGATTTTCCGGTTTAACTGGTTGTCCGATTACTTGGTGACCGCGCGTGTTCTTGGTAGGGCTTCGTAGAGTACCATTACTCGTTATCAGTTTTGAAGTTCAATTAACGCTAATTCAGCTCGTCGATTTTTCAGTCTGTTTCGTTTATTTGCTTTTTTCTCTAACGACGTTACCGTCAATGTCACGATTTTGCTTCAAGTAACTCGAAACATTAGCCACAACTTATCAAGTTCGTCGTTAATAAACTTTGTGATGCCAATTTTTTCTTATCTAAGCCATCATAAATACCTAAATGCAATTATATTTGGTCTCTTGCCGTCCTGTCAATGTACCGTTAGGAAGCGACAAAGCAGTATTTAGGGTATTAGAAATTTTCTACAAGTTAAGATAATTTCTCAACACGAGATAACGTCTTAACGAAACCAAGTCCTTGAACCTAAGTCATGCTCGTCTCTTGAATAGACGAGCGGGAGTAAATGACGACTAACATCGATGCCACCGAGGCTCTCCAGTTGGGTTTTTAGATGGCAGAAACATAATAAAGAAAAGTATCAATAGTATCAATAGTATCAATAGTATCAATAGTATCAATAGTATCAATAGTATCAATAATAAATAAAAGTATCAATAGTATCAAAAGTATCAATTGTATCAATAGAAATGGATAACTACGAAGGAAGCAATTTCAGTAAGTAAGAATTACCCCTCTCGTCTCTAGTTTTTCAGTCTTGAACATAATCATAAACAATATTATGTGCTTAGATTGATATTAAGTATCAGTAAAGGCGTTTGACACCGTCGGTTATTCGGTTGTGATACGCAAGTTGCATCGCATTGGGTTCTTTAACGAAGCATTGCAGTGGATCTTAAGCTACCTCTCCTCGCGAAAGCAGTTTGTTCAGGTTAATGACAAACAGTCCAACATGGCTGATGTTGGGTTTAGAGTCCCCCAGGGTTCTATCATGGGACGGTGTTGTTTAACCTGTATGTCAGTGATCTCGAGGGCTGCTTACATAAGAGTTGCAACTACCTGCAATACGTCGATGACACCACAATTTACCAGCATAGCGTACCCAAGAACCTGAATAGCTGCATTCAGGCTATGAATGAGAACTTACAAAGCATCGAGTCCTGGGCCTGCATGTCCAATCTATTGCTGAACGTGAAAAAGACTAAGCAGATGCTAGTTACCACTCCTCAAATGTCGCGCTTTCACGAGCTAGGAACACTTGCCCCCACGCTTAAGTTGAAGGACCAGATTTTAGATAGAGTAGATAATTTTAAGTTGTTAGGTACCTGGTTAGCTGAAGATCTTAAAT